AAAAAAAACGAAATCAACTTACATCAACACGTATTTTTGAATCACCAGCACTTGCTGTTGGTTGTGTACCACTTTGTAAATTTTTAAACATAGCAACACGTTCTTTAGCTACACCACGTTCAAGAAGTTCATTATCAATTTCAACTGTTCGTTTAATCTATAAAATAAATAAATATATATTGAATATGAACTTAAATATCAATATTTACAGTAGCTTCATCGGGATTTTCAAATGCTGTAGCACGACTTTTAGCTAAACCACTTTCAACAGTAACAGGTTGAGCTGTTTTTGTTGTTGATATTTTAGTTGTATCAGCCATATACTGTTCTTTAATTGTACTTGCTAAACCACTTGTAACATCGTAATGTTTTTCTGATGATTTATATTCTGTATTAGCTAATGATGCTAATTGTTCACGTCGTGCTGTTGCTAATCCATGTTCAGTATCAATATCAATATGACGATCACCTGAGCGTTGTGTTTGTTGTTCAGCATCAATTTTTGATAATAATTCTGAACGTCTAGCTTGCGCATTACCTGATTCAACCGAATTTAATGCTTCATCACGACGTGTTGATGTTGTTGTAGAATCATTCATATGACCACTTTCAAATTTAGCCTTCTTGTCTGTAGTTGCACCAACAAGAAGATCAGCATCAGCTTGTACACGATTTGAACCTAAGTCATGATAATCATGATCATATTCACCTTTTTCAAATTTAGCTTTTTTATCTGCTGCTGCACCAGCTAATACATCATGATCAATATGAACTGTTTTTGTTTGATTTGTTTCATTGTCAGTTACATGTTGTTCAAATGCTTGTTTTTTCGATGATGCTAAGCCAGCAACAAGATCAGCATCAATTTGTACTTTGCTTATATGTGATTCAACTTCTTGTTCATATTCACCATGTTCAAATGCTTGCTTTTTTGATGAAGCTAAACCACTTTGTACACGAACATCTAAACGTTTTTCTGCACGTGGTTTCTCATCAACTACACCTTTTTCAAATTTATCTTTAACTTCTGCCATTTCATGGTAAGGAACCTAGAACAAGAACAAAGATGTTTAGATAATATAAACAATAAAATAATTATTTTTATAATACATGTTCTCTCGGTGTTTTCTTTTTTCGTGATGATCGAACAATACCATCAGATTCCGCTGTTTCATTTTCATCTTCTTCTTCTTCGTTTTGACCATTTGATGAAGCGATGTCTTCAAATCTATTGAATAAAAAATAAATGATAACAATCATAAAATATTAATATAGGACAGAAGACAAACAGAATAATACATTAATAACTATTTCTAAAAATAGAATAATTGTCATTGAGAAAAAAAAAAAATAACAATAGTCCAATAAATATTGTGTATAATATTTACTATTACTACTAATAATAATAATTCAATGGAGAAGGTCAAAAAAAACTACTTACTCTGGTATTGGTAAGTCCATTTGAAGTAAAATCTGTTACTAGTTCTTTTTTGTTAATATGTATTGATGTGCAACGAGAAGTCACTTTTTCCTCTCTCTCGTTCGTTTATATAACTCAATGAAATGTGCGATTGCTTACCTAGCTTTTCTTAATTTGTTTTTTTTTCTGTATATCTATTCTTTATCTTGTTTTTTTTTCCTCTTTTTAACCTCAAACACATACATAAAAACGTGTACGACCTTATGATAAAATCAATCGATCCGATGATTTTCTCTGTTTTTCTATTTATCTTAATAATAAAATAAAATCAACAACATATAAAACATACTTTTGAAATGTATTTTTCATTTTGTCACTTGGTGCTACTCGTTCAACTTTTTGTAAATTTTGTCGTTCATCTTCATCAGTTGGTTTAGCAAACATTTTTGTAATATTACGTAGACGTTCCAATGTATCATCTGCAGCACCGGCAGAATCGATTGCTATCAAGAGAAATAAATAAATCAAAATAAAGATTATATTTTCTAGTATGTTTTTATGTTTTTTTTTTGACTAAATAGTTTGTTTGATTTTTTCTCTCGATATAATAAGGTTAATGTAAAGAAATCTTATAAGTTATTTAAAGATTCGAATACACAAAAAAAACATGTTTTTATGTAAATACTACATACATGAATCTTCATTTGTATCTGCCATCGTTTACTTGAATTTAATAAAATAGGTGCTCGAGTACGGCACACTTCAAATAGTTATTCTTCTTTTCACGCAAGCGTACGCTGGATAAAAAAATATTTCTCAGTAGTGTTAGCTGCTGGATAGAATATAGTACTTCCGCTTCTGTCTTTGACGACAATAACTGTAAGAACTGTACGTATGTATTATCCAAGATATATATATGCTCTTCTTTTTCTTTCTCGTTATTTTTTTTCTTTTTCTTTTCCTATTACAGTTTTCTCTTATTCATACTCCATCCTACGTAAAATATATACATATATATATATATCTATATATACAAAAAAGAAATGTGCCCGCTGTCGGGCTTGTATGGATAAACAGCGAGTACCATTAGTAATTGTTGGATATACGACAGAAAAAAAAGAGAAAAGAGGACACGTAATATACCATAGTGATTATTTCTTCGTTCTTTTTTTTTTTTCGATGAGATCATTCTGTTGTAGGAATATATAGACAAGAGAAAAGAGGTCATCAACAAAGTATACATACATATACACACTCATATATGTATATATTAAGTAGAAGAGTTGTTTTCGTATCTCTCTGGAAATGTTTGTCAGAATGCAAGGCAAAAAAAAAATATTCATATGTCACCACACAATAATAAAGAAGAAGAATCTATTTCTATTTTCTTTTAAGCCTAGAATAGTTGTCATATAATGCAACAGCAACATTTTCTTCTTATAGAATATTCTCGTAGAGTCAGTTGTAGAATTGATAGACATACACCCACATTAGTCAATTTAGAAGGCTTTTTTTTTATAACGACGCAGATGTATATAGACTCTTTCAACTTATATATTGTTAAATATGTCTTTTTCTTACGATTTAATTCATTATATATTCAATATATATATATATATACAATGAATTGAAGAGATTTCTTTATATATTAATACTCATCTTTTATACTCTAATTTGTTTGTCGAAATCATTGAATTAAAATATTATGAAGCTATTTGGAACTTAACGAACTGCGCATGACTATTCATTTGTAAACTTCACGTAACACTCTCTTATTTGTCTACATAAACGATCGACAAATCTCATCGATCACATTCCAATTCGATAATTTCAACTATTGAATCAATAACTACATCGTTCGTATAATACGACCTTTTTTTTAACGATAAATCTTCTATGTTGAATGTTATTTTGATTGTATAGTTAATCTTAACAATTGATAAATAGATAGGAGTCTCACTTACGTCCCTCTTTCGTTGATAAATGCATAGTATGAATTTCTGTATGACGTCGTTTTTTATGAATATGTTGTTGTTGTGGTGGTTGTTGATCATAAAATATCAATGGTCTTTGTGGAAAAAAATTTTCATTCATTGATGAATCTTGTTCATCAATGTCACTTAATGTTGAAAGATCATCATTCGTTGTTGTATCACCATCATAATTTCCATTGGCACTTATTGATAATGATGATGATGAACTATGTTTATATTTATGTGGTTGACGAATTATTGAAATAGCTGCTCGACGTTCATCTTCACTAGCAGCTTCAGATATTGGATCAAGTAAATGATAAGGAAAATATTGTTGTTGTTGTTGTTGTTGATCTTGAAATGATAATGACGATGAAATAACAAAATCTGATGGCATTACAATAGGTAAAGATCTTATATGTCTACAATAGTCATCATTTTCATCATCATAATCATCATCTACATCGATTAGTTCACCCGATAATCGACATAGAAGACCATCATCTGGATCGGAAAAAAGTAAATTAACATCATCTTGATCAATATGAATTTCATCAAGATCATCATCCATATCGTCATCATCTTCATCATCATCATCATTATTGATATTCTCATTTGTAAAAAAAGATTGATTATTATGAAGACCATGATATGTTAATGTTTTACGAAACGTTTTTGTTGAATTTGTATGACATTGTTGATTAATACTAATTGAATCAGCTAAAGATGGTGATGATGACAGAAATGATTCATCTTCATCACCACCAACACCATCATCTGATATCAGATGATGTTTTAGTAATCGTTGTTCTAAACTA